CGTTGGCTATAACGCATTCACGAATAAAAATAATAGTTATGCTACGCACTTTGTTATTGATTTTAGACAGAAAGGTAAAGGAGAGGTTCGGGTAATTCTGCAATGTCGCAGACTATATAGTTTTTGGTGTATCATATATATACATATACTATATATATGTGTATATATCCAATAATATATATCATCGTATCCTTCATCATCATCATTATATTTACTGGTATAATTAATTACTCGCTTAGATATGAAACCTAATAGGAACATGATTGCACCGTGCCCGTTTTTTCCGCACGATGTTGGCGTCTTCGATAGCGGCTCCGCCGCTTTTTTTCTTTTTCCGTTCTTTCCCTTTCCGTTCTCGAGGTTTGCACATATGTATACGTGCGTGTCTCACTCTCGCGTGTATCTCTCGCTTCGTGCGTGTACAGGTACAACCGTGTTTAATGTCATAATTATCGTAGTCATAGTCGTTGTCATTGTCCTCGTCGTCATTGTGGTACTCTGTGTGACGTGTCTCTCCTTGAGTCGTTACAGAATCTAAACGCGCCCGTGCGATTTTACGCGTATGGCACTGCAAATGGATAATAATAAGTCTATACACGTAATACAAAATGCGCATAGATATTAAAGCGGCGACCGAGCGGACTAGCTTTTGTTCTTTGTTTCCCCCGCACAATCATCGATCGCGTAAAATCATTACCCTCTGCGCGACCTCGACGAGTCGGGTTGAACCGAGGGGTTCATGAAACGTCCGAGTCCGCGAGGAACTTAGCCGGCTGACTAGAACCAAAGGTGCGACACGCGGACATATACTTAACATCGAAGATATGGTGAAACACAAACAACACAAAACGTTAACGTAAATATGTTCGTCAAAAAAAATATCGTGGCAAAATTCATAGCCTACTTTTCCTCGCCGATAAACATGACGCGTCTCTTTTCCTACAAAGCGCGAAACGTTTCGTCGGTCATATTCGATACGCGTATCATTTTCACCGTCAACGTTGTTTCTTGAGCTGTCTATAACGCGTTTTCGCGTTTTGATCGTCGATCTTTTCGCGCCTCCGCGTTTTACAAAAAGGGTCCAGCGAGAGGCGCGAAAAGAGGCGCTTATCCGTCATCGTCCGTTGAAATGGGAGAGTCTTTTCAAGCGATGAGACTTCACTCGATCGATCCCACGTTCGATTTGGCCGAATCGCGCGCCGAGCCGATATGCGTGGCGCCAACATCATCGGGGTTGCCCGGGACGGCGTTTCGGGTGCCCCGCGCCGTCGGTGGGTATGCGGACCCACCAGTGGCTCACGGTGTGCCCTATAGTGAGTACATATAGATATACACATGGCAATCTCTCACAAGAATTAGTCGCTATCGTTATCAATTAGTATCCATTATTAATTAATAGTCAATCAAGTACCGCTCGAACAAATTCGCAAGTCAATCGGCAATAATGATGCAATAATAATTGTAATAATAAAGACAATAGAGCGTAATAACGTAATAATAATAATGAGATGAGATAATAATAATTATTACAATTATAATGGTAATAATAATCGTAATAATGGCAATAATTGCAATAATAGTCACAATAGCAATATAGACAATCGATAAAGTTAATAATAAATAGACACGTTCAACGCATTTTTTAGTAGAAAAACTCAACGAGATTACAAAAATGAAAAACTTGGACGTCACCGTAGCCTCTTCCGTCGTCGAACGGTTCTAACGACGCGATATTCCGACTGTTTGCTCGTCGAGCACGACACGCTTATATATGGTCAGTGTCATCGAGTGTGCATAAAGTACATATATAGCAAGCTCGCGCAAAATTGTTCCGACCGGTGGTATCTCTGCTCTCTTCCGCGTTCGAGGGAGAAAAATCGCGTCGGCGAAAAGTTCCCTCTCGAGTAAAAATGCGCCCTCGATGTTTGCCCTCGCGTTTGCCCGATTCGATTCGCGCGATCATCGATCGCGTTGCGCGCGCGGGAAGAGAGAGACACAGACGAATTATCGTCGCACATCGATCGTTGCGTCTTACACATACGCGGGAGAGGCGTCCGGGTTTTTCGTTTTATCGACGGAAAAGAAAAAACGGCGTCGGCGACGTCTCGACCGCGCTTAAAATTCTTTCGCAACGCAGTAATATATTATATGTATATAGCATTCGTTTTCTCTCCTCATTTTATCGTCATCAGTTCATCACTCCATTACATAATCCGCGTACGCTCATCACTCACTCATTGTTGATTTTTAGGAACAGCTAGCGAGGTTCGGTTACTCTATCACGCAATCTCCCGTACTCGAAACTCAAAACGCCAAAACCGCGACGCGCCGGTTTTGCGTACACGCGCACGTACGTAGTCGCGTTTTGAGAATCACGCTCGTATGCGATGTGTATAGCTCCGAGTTCATACACAAAATTCGATTTCAGTGTCGCGCGCGTGTATGTGTGTATGTTTGTGTACGTATGTGTGTTTGATTCGTGTGTCGATGAAATATTACGATCCTTATACGAGATAAAACACATGTCGCCCTCCTCTGCCTCCCGCGAGCAAATTCGAAGGATCAAGATCGCGATGGACACCGTCGAAGAGCGCATCTCCTTGTGCATTCAAGTGCATTCTCGCTTTTCTTTTTTTACGATTATAACACGTATGTAGGAAACGCGGGGAAGGGAAATATGTATGCGAATTTCATTCTTCTCTCTTTCTCTCTCTCTCGCAGTCTAAGCGTCTCGGCTTTTAAGCGACGCCCTTTGGAACATCTTGCCTCGTGCTAGTGATAGTGACAGAGTTATCCTTTTGCAATAATTCTGAAGAGACAGTACGAATTTGCGGTCGCTAAACGCGCGCGACGATCGCCTTAATTAATATTCTACGGGATTCAATCAGCACCCGTAATTAATTGTCTTATTTTGCGAGGTATCGGTTTTTACGTGAAGAGAGATTCCGCTTTGAATTTTCCCGGTACGTCCTGTAAAGGTGGATCGTGCCGGTCGGAAAGACGATCGGCTGAGAATTTCGATATTAACGATTCGATTAGAAGTTTTCGTTAGTGTACGTGTACGGTATGTCTATCAGTGTGTGTGTGTGTCTGTGTGTGTGTATACGTCTCTTGGAATATGTAAATGTATACTAGTTCAACGCTGTAACGTTTATATAGATAATAATCAATACATGACCACGTACATATAAATATAATATCGTAATCTATAATAATAATAATAATAATAATTCAAATATAATATTAATAATCGCATCGTTACCAACTTTACGTTAGAAAAAGCATCTTTTGCAGACAGGAACCTCGAGTTGCTTAGTATCTTAAAAATAATTATTACTTTGCGTTTCGTTTGATCTTAACGACCACCATACGTGTTTAACGTCCTCGAATCACTCAGACCCCATCTCGCGCTTTCTCCGAGCTCTCTATCTCTAAAAACGAACGCGCCCACTCGTCGATACATTTCTCTATCCAGCATCGCCCTTCGTTTCACGCGATACCCATCTTGTTCTTCTCCGATATCCGCAGTATACTCTTTTTTTTACCCTAATGATTCGCGTAAAGTCAAAACTGCGGCGCGCAAAACACTACGGTTTTATCCCCTTTTCTCTTTGCACTTTCGGTGGCACTTCCGGCATTCCATAGGTATGCATACGTGCCGCACCGTACGCGCAAATTTTCGTTTCTTCGTAAGTGCTCTAGAATGAGCTTCTAAAGCGAGGAACATGACATACGTACATGTGTAGATACGTCACCATTCCGGATAATATCCGCGAGGATTCTAGTACGTCACAACATCATATATATATATATATATATATATATATATATATATATATTTATATATATATATATTTATATATTTATATATTTATATATATTTATATATATATATATATATATATATTTATCTCTACTGAAATATATATATATATTTTTCTTATTCATTATTTTCTTACTCTCTTCATTTTTCTCATTCACTTCTTTTTTATTTATACATATATATACTTCTTTCTCTTTTTTTGTATATATATACCTATGTGTGTGTGTGTGTGTGTGTTTGTGTGTGTGTAAGAATGTGTATTTGTGTATTGTGTGTGCGTTTGTCTGTGTATCTGTCGATGCGCATATACTTCCCATTTCCCCTTACATTCTACAATTTAATCATAATTTATCCGTAACTTAATAGCTAGTAGTGAATTCTTTGTCACGTTTCTCGATTTTATATTAATCTCTCTCTTGTTGCCAATCGAAAGGGCGCGATCTTCTTTCCCTCTTCCCCCTTTCCTTTCCTCAACTTGCGAGATATGGGGGGCTATCTGTCTCTAAGATGTTAAATGTGACATGATTTCTTAAATCTCATCTTTGATCGTGCAGTCGTTAATTTAAAATTTGTTTTATTTTGTTTGAAAAAGTTCAGATATATTAGTTTCAGATATATTACATCACTGAAGCACCCTAACTTCACGCGATAATAATATCTATTCATAATCAAAAATGTCATTCATTTATTTTATGCTATATTGCATACGTATATTCGATTCTTGTTTGTTTCTAGAGGATTTTAAAATCCTGTTTTCGCGCCAGTATTTTTTCTACTCGAATTTTCTTTGCTCGCGTGAGACATGGAGAAAAAAGAAAGAGAGAGAGAGAGAGAGAGAAAGAAAATAAGAGATAGATAAATAGATGGCTGAAGAGATAGATAAACAGAGAGAGAGAGAGAGAGGGAGAGAGAGAGAAAGAGAGAGAGAAAGAAAGAGAGAGAGAGATCGGAGAACACAGAGGTCAAATTTTGTCCTTTCGACGACGGTGCCCCCCCCGAGCGTCGATGTATGTCGATCGGTTGTTCGATCATCGAGCGTTGCTTAGCGATAATCGTTATAGCTACCGACAGCTCTCTAATACTTATCGTTATTACTATCATTATTATTACTAGCTTCATTATTATTATTATTACTTATTATATTATTAATAATATTATTATCATTAACATTATTACTAATCATTTGTTTAGTGTTAATAAATATAATTTATTAAATATAGGAACCATGTTTGTGGGTCTTGCTTGTGCTCGTTCGTGCACGCGAATCGTGTCGACGACGGGCACCGGGGGTTTATTACCGCCTTATATACCATCGTCTTTCCCTTTCGTCCGCCGTCTTGTTACGTCTCGTTTTATCAAATTACGGGAAATGAAGAACGTTAAAAAACGTGCCGAGCCCGATGTATGCATGTGGTATACGATGTGCACGTGTGTATATGTGTGTGTGTATGAATATGTATAAATCAGAAAGAGAGTAAGTATGTGTGTATGTGTATATATATGCTTGTGTTATATGAATTTTTCTTCATTCTTTCGTCGCTTTCCCGAGAATCGCGGACATCTCTATCTCACTCGCGACGAATACAAAGCATACGCGTGGTGTCACTTTTATATTTAACATTTTTCACGATCGCTGTCGAAGTCGCTGAACGATTCACGACACATACACACACATGCACACATACGCACGCGCAAACACATACACACAGGTCCGTGCACACGCGCGTCAAAACGAGAAACAGAGTGATAGAGAGAGACAGTCAAATATCTATATATATATATATATGCGTGTGTGTATATATATATAGATGTATGTATATATATATAATATGTATGTATATGAATATGTACGTACGTATGTGTAACGATGGCGGCGTTTTTTTTAATTTCGCGCACCGCACACCATCTATCCTATTAAACGCCGCGTCTAAGCAGCGTCCGCTTGTTTCTTCTTGTTCCTCCTTCTTTTTCATTAGTAACTCTGTGTGTGTATGTGTGCTTTAAATCTTTATTATTACTTTACATAGGAACGTTTAAGTTAGCCCACCTCGACGCGCGTCATTTCGCGTCGCATACGACGCACTTTTCCTCCCCTATTAGGGATTTCTCGTACCCTCTTCTGCAAATGTACCGCGCGCATCGCTCCGAGATATGGGCCCAAAAGATCGGCTCGATCCGATCGAACCGATGGCTGGCCGATCGATCGTTGGTTGATCGGCAAGGAGGATTGGATTTCTCGATCGTGCTTGTTCGATCGTCCCCCGGGCGATTCCACCTAGACGCTCGTCTTCGTCGAGAGTCTCTCTGTCCTTTTTGCTACCCTTTTCTCTTTCTTCATTATTTATCTTTTTTTTTCTTTCTTTCGTGCTACGAGAGGAACTTTGGAGAGCGCGCGACTTCACGGCACGCGCTGCGCGGGATTCGCATTACAAAAATAATAGGCGAATCGGGGGACGGGGGCCAGGGGGCAGGGAGGCAGTGGAGGGTGAGACGCGCGGTGACGATGCGATACACGAACAAGAATACTACGAGAGGATCATCACGCGCTCAGCAATCGCGACTAAGTCCATCGTCCGCGCCAGAGTAGTAATGCCTCCCCCGCCTACCTCCCCTCTTACCGCCACAGGGCAGATGCCCCCGACGCGACGGAGTGCTCCACCAAGATGTACACCCGTGCCGCCCGTTCATCGCCGGTTAGGAACATTGGCTCGTCCACTGCGACGTCCTCGAATCGGACCTTCTCCGAGCGACGTCCATCGGTTCTCGTCTCTCTTCCGTCTCTCTTCGATGTGTCTGCCTCTTGCGTCCCCTTCCACAGATCTTTGATGCCATCGCGCACATCCCTCCTGTTTCTGGAGGAGATGAGAGATAGACCAACCCCTGGGGCTCTCAATTCGGCGGCGCTTAACGTGCCCCGGCGAGGGCGGTGACCTCCTGGATCAGCTTTTGCCGTTTGGCGTCAGGCCCGTTGTTGTTGTCTTGACCGCCGGCTCTTTCGCCGACCTGCGGTTGACCGCTAGTCGTGCTCTCAGCGGCCGCGCGAGCCGCCAACAGGGTGATTTGATTGACGACATCCTCCATCTCATCGGTGAGCGGATTCGTTTCTTCACCGGACTGCGCACCGCTGTCAAACTGTTGCTGTTGTTGTTGTTGTTGCTGCTGAGCGGCTTCGAGACGCGTACGATGTTGGAGCGTCTCGGTGTGGCGACGCCAATCGTTTACGGTAGCGTAGGTGCGCGTCGGGACGCCAGGTTCGCAGAGCGAGCAGGCATAGCGCATCTGCACGAGACGTAGGGCGCCCCGACGTTGCTGATTGCCCAGGTAGCAAGAGCGCTGATGCGCCAGCAACGTCGATTCTTGCGGATACGCTCGGCCGCAACGGCGGCATACCAGGCACAGCTCCATCTCCGTCTCGCGGCACTGCTGCGGCACGACGTTCGTCTCTTCAGGAACGCACGGCAGACGTACCGTCTCCAAGCCCGGGTGATTTGGGTCCTGTTGCAGGAACGCCTGCATCAAAGCCCGCGGTACCTGCACTTGCGTGCCGCCCTCCACGTGCAGCGACATTAGACCACCCCCGAGTAGGCCACCGCTCAAGCCCGCAGCCGCTACTGAAAGCAAATCGTGAAATCGGTCCTCGTAAGAAACAATCGTTATAGAACTGTCGCGCGAGTCGATTAATTTAATTAATTTAATTAGTTTAATTAACTTAATTAATTTAATCTTTAACCGCGGTGTCCAGTTTCGCGTAAATTTTGTACTGAAATCATCTTTCGTCGTACTTATTTATCTTGAAACTGGACTTATACTTTTGGAGTAGATCTCGTATTTTACACTGTTACACATATGAACTATCGCATGAGAGATCGATCTTAACTCTACTTCATTAGCTTTCATTAGGCAAAAGCAATTTGCAATCGAAAAGACAAATGCCAGTTGAATTTAAATTGCCTTAGGTATAAATATCTTGAAATATATTGCAGCTAGGATGATGAAAATTGTTTCGAAATCTACATATGAAATTGTTGTAAACGCTGCGATTCGTGTAACTCAAGGGAAATTTTCAAAAAGAATATACAATTATCTGATGTAAGGGAAAGATAGCGGAGCTAGATGGCACATTCGTGAGTAATTAATTTGTGCCAACTTGGTTGTCATAATAGCATCTCCGACGTAACCGGGGGAAAAAATTTATGCCAAACCTGTTTTTATCTGAGCGAGACAGGTAAATTGGTAGTCATTAGCTCGTCCGCGGACCGATGCGCATTGACGGGATAATTTCCTCGGTTGTCTCGATCCAAAGTCCGCGTATCGAAAGGCTCTTGACGTGTCGTCGAACGATTAATTTTAATTTTAGAATCGTGCACGCCGCGGGGAACAGGAAGTGAAGTTACCATCATCTTTTCTTCTTTCTCTAAAGACGTAATTGAAAGGAAAAGCGTAAAAGGCGTCACTTTCTGAACTAATTTGGTCGGCATTTAATGATCGATGACGTAATCTATGCACGATCGCAGGGAAGGATGCAGAAGCGCGCTTATGTCCCGACGTTGATTAGGCGGGTTGACAGGTTTACGCAGTGACGCACGGCTATATCGCCGCGTATCGTGTATCAGATGAGGAGTCGTTATGAGGCAGGAAGTGTTAATGATACCCCTGCTCATTCGCTGGACGCTCGGCTGTAATTATCAGAGCTGGTAGGGAGGCGTGAGGAAGACGAGAAGAGCAACGGGGGGAGAAACGCGAAAGAGCTTTCTTCTCTCTCTTTCGCTCTTCCATCCCTCCGGTTCGTCTTTCAACGTGTCGACGATAGAATTGATAGTTATTAAACGGCAAAATCCCAAAGTGTCAGAACCTGGTTCCATTCCCTCTTTGTTGCCTAATGAGAACCCTTGATACACACGCATGATGATCCACTGTTTGATCAACACTTTTCTCTCTTCTCTCCTCCTCTCTCTCTCTGTTTCTCTGGGTTCTCTCGTTCTTTCTGTCGCGTATTTTGCACTCGCGTGGATTATGGTTTACCTCGATTGGACAAGCAAATAATCCGCGTTTTTATGTTCCATCGAAAAGGTCTTTCTCGGAACGAGGAGGCACGGTGCAATAAAGAAGGGAGAAAAGTGTTACGGATAAATGGGGGATTAACGCAACAGCATTGGCCATGTTGTATAGTTCTGGTCGCTCTTCTGTGCTCCCCTTTACGGTCCCGTAGCGTTCGCGGGAATGTGGCAAATTCATTACCGGGGCCCCACGGGCTCTCGTTCGTCGGTATCGGAGGCAACTCGCTCTTCTTGTTTGATATAATCGGCTGAATAATGATGGTCAAGCGCGCAAATAAACGTGCGGTCAAACGTGTGGAATTAAAATATCGTAACCTTTGAATGTAAAATAAAAAAATCATAAGTTAATTTAATTCATGTGAATGATCCCGTATTTTTTATTTAATTTGATAGATTTGCTGGGCAAATATTTCCTTAAAATAATACTATTTGAACTATAATGGAGTTTACTGTCACTTATTATTGCATTATTACACGTATCCTTGTAAACAAAAATGTTTGAATATTTAAACAAAATATTTCAGCTCTTGTCGATTAAAAATTACTGAACTTAATAAATTTGTTCCTGCATATAAATTTAAGTGCTTAACGTATAAAAGGGGTCTAAAACTTTAGAAGTATCTATTTTGGAATGAAAAAGTTATATTTTTAATTCTGCAATCTAAACATTTAATAGAAACATTGATATTTTTATTATTCCTGCCATTGACTTTTATCAGCATAATCCAATCGGAGATGAAATGGTACTAATGTGATCTCTTAGTCTTCTTACTCCCAAGGTCACTTCTTTGTCTCGCGCGCGCGCGAGAGAGAACGAAGACACATAATATAATATAATAAGGAAGATATCGTTAAATAACGCGTAACGCGTCACGGGCAATCCGTGTGACACCCTTGAAACAATCGAAACGATCGAGGAGAGAGATTATTACTCTTAATGATCACTAGTTATTCCTTTGAGTGGCTCTGATTCGTCCTCCCTTCCGTCCTCCGGCACCTTCTCCTAGACGGTCAACGGAGACTATGTTGTGTATGTGCGCGCGCGCGTGCGTTTCGTCTTCGTGTACATATCAATACACACGCGTATGCAAACGCGGAGACGAAACGCACACACTATACGCGATCATATACGCACATCACTTTCGTCCCGTCTTCTCAGTGGGGCTCATTTGCGTACGGATTGAGATAGTAGTGCTTCGGTACTGTCGCGATGTGTGTTTTTGTTTAAATGTGTGACCGGCGTGTGTATGCGCGAGATTCTGATTGCTGGCCGCTCCCAAGTCCCCAGTGATCGTCATCGCGACGCGGACACTCATTATTTAATTTCAGCATGCCACTATGCTTTAATCCTTTGCGCCGGGAATTACTCTGACCGTGATGCTAATGGAGCGCATTTATATGGTACTCAATACGCGCGTAAGCAGCTCTCAATTGAAACGAACTTTCTGCAACTCTGTAATGTGACTTAAGAATATAATATCTATTAGCTTTTTATTTAAGCACAGAGTGAATATTATGGTCGAGAGAATTTCGTGAGAATATTTTTAATCTATTTTTATTTCTAAAAAAATCAGCAACTTTTTATGAATCAAATTTATTAATTAATAAATTTGATTCATAAAAAGTTGCTGATTTATAATTATAAATATTAAAATATTTCTTTGTGCTATAAAACGGCAGAACTTGTCTCTATTGATTGATTTTATATTTTAAATGTATATTTTGTACTAAATATAATATATATTTGTGATCAATTTAATTAAATAATTGCACTAATTATTTGCAGAATATGTTGAAATATACATTTATAGTAAAATATTCTTTATGTTCTTACTTAACATCAAAATTATTTGAAGCATTCTTACTTTTAAACGTGCATTCTTTTTAAATTGACATTTTATTAATTGCTTTATTAATTGTTACAGGTCTGAAGACCTTTACCTTTCGGATTCTTCATATATGAGAACCACTGACCCTAAGATTGCCACGACACATGCTGGAAATTTGTTCGGCGGGAATTTACGAGCGAGTTTCCGTGTCAGACCCATGGACTCTGGTGGTAAGTAGGTATAAGTCTGTATAACCTGGCAGCTATAAACTCGCATTCGAGGACCGGTGAACGAATAATCGGGAATGTCGTTAGTTAACGCGTTCAGGAATTTTAACGGCTGTTCCAAAGACGCGCGCGCGGAAAAATGCAATTCGTCATGTTGCGGGTTGCTGTTCGAAGTAGCACATCATTGAATGATGGTCAGTGATTGTAGATCGTAGATCGTGAATTAACTCGTTGAATCTTTCTTGAGACAACTAAAGGAGTTATTAAATTATTTTCATGTGTGATTATAATATTATGAAATAATAATTATTATGACTATTATATATAAATTTTGATAAAGCATTACAGAAGGTAGAGAATAAATATTTTTACATTTTATTATTAATTATCGAGATAAATCCGATAACCAGTAATTTTAAAAAACGAAAGTTAAACTGACAAGAAATTGGAAATGTAATAATCTTCTTATGCATTCTTTATTGACATATTTCTTGAAAAGTTCAATTTGATAAACTGCTCTCCTCACCTAGATTTATTTAATCGAGCAAGAAGCTGCAAATATATCGATGCTTTTAGGAAAGTATTCTTTTATCATTATTTCATCCATGCTAAAAGGAAGACGCGATAGGTAAGGAAAGAAAAAGAAACAGAAAAAGAGAGAGAGAAGGGATGAAGAATCGCTGATATCAAGCATTTCAAAATGCATCTAGAGACGATACGATAACGCGATGACGCGAAACGATATTTCACCCTTAAGGTAACAAACGTACGATCGTTTTTCTTATCCCCCCTTTTTTCAATTACCCCATTAATTGCCAAAATCAAACAGTGAATCAGATTAACGGAATGGAATTTGAAACGGCTTGTAACGCGCGTTCTCGTTCGAGATTCATCAGAGAGCGGGGTAATTCGTGGACTACCGCGGCAGATGAATCTCGGAGGTGGTGTTAGTAGAGGAGAGGATCTGCGGAGTGCCATAACTGCCCGTTACGCGAAGTATGCACAACGGTGCATTCCGCGTGTGCGTGCTAGCGCGTTCTCACGTGGTTGACCACCGCACACGTACGTGTATAGGAAAACACGTCGTGAACGTGGGCGTGCATTCCTGCCTTCGCATTATCTTCTCTTGGCTCTTTCTCTTTCTTCTCCTTTTCTCGTTTCTCTTGCCCCTCGCTCTCTCTTTCTCTCCTCTTTCTCTCTCGCACCCATCGTCGACGGACCACGTACGAGAAGGAATCCTCTCGTCTTTTTATTCCTTATCCAGACCCGTTATCGTCGATACCATGGCCCGAAACGACTGTTTCACACCTCCGCTCGCGCGGGAATTAGGAAATAAATTAGCGGCCGGGCTAATTTCGTTATCTCGTTCGATGACCGCCCCACCCCGCTTAAGACGTCAAGGCCTGATGTCGGAGGGGGTCTCGAGACCCGATGCGGGACCCGAGGACATGGTCGAAATCGTGTCCCGGCGCACCGCAGGCTCTGCTCGTTCGCTCACGCGAAGTGCGGCTTCGTTAAAAACAGGTCAATTCCGATTAAAGCGAAGGCGAGGTGGTAAAGTACGAGGTGCTGGTACCTCCCCGTCTTCGAGAAATCGCGATAGCCACTCTTGTAATTAATTCACGGCGAGGAGTTTCTGGAAAGTGGCGTGAGCGATGCCATAATTTATTCCATTATTTGTTTAATCTATATAGCATCGCGCTATACGATGTCTTGCAATTACGTGATTAGAGGAACACTCTGTAGAACTTTATAAATAAGTAATAATTGAAAGTTATTCACAAAATCTTTCTTTTATAACTAATTAATTAAGTTAAATTACATATATTTTTAATTATAATTCAAATAATATATCGTGCTTCTTATTTAATTATGCTTTGACGAATATGTAGGATAATATAAATACAGGAATTTATTTCTAAATTAATAATGAAACATTTTACGTTATTAATGCACATTAATATTGCAAAAGAAATATAATTAATAGACATGGACATTTTTAATATACGATTTGAATAGACATTTTAATGTAGGATTTGATGGACATTTTTAATATAGGAAGAAATTGAAGAATAAGATGGATTCTTACATTGAAGAATAAAAAATTTAAAAAAAATTATATAAAAATTAATAATTCAAATAATTTCGTATATTTGTGATATTTGTTAAAAATTCGTGTTGCAATATCTTAAAAATAATTTAAGACTGAGAAATTATATTTACATATTGTTATTTGCATTTCGCGTAAGATTAACACTGTGAATGCAAACAAAGTGGTATGTCGTGCCCAAAGTTCGAACTGAAAACACCAAATATCGGCTCAACGAGTCACCTGCTCATTCGATCGACTTTAATATCCTGGGCGATGGTCGGTGTAAGCAGATTCCCCTCGTCTCTCTCAGAAAATGTTAGATGTCAGGGATCACGAGGAAGTCATAATTTCCACGCGAACGAGGCAGACCCGAATGAATTGACGACGGCTTATCTCGCGGCTCGGCCACGAAATCGCTTCGTACGCGTATCGGACAAGATAACGGCGCTGGCGTATCGATAAATTCCGCTAATTAATTATTGACGTGTCCCAGGGCTATTTTTACGCTTCGGACCCTCCGCACGCGAAAACGAACGTTTCTTTCTCCTCCGTCCAATTTTTATTTCGAATCTTTTTCTCGCTAATAAAATTACAGAATTGATTTTCGCATGAGCTTTCCTTTGAATATAACAAAATCTATCCCATGAAATTTATATAAAAATAATCTATATAATGTCTAAAATTATTTTTTTTTCATTGACGTTCGATATGATTATTTCTTTTTGACAATACATATAATAATTGTTTGTAATTACCTCCTCTCCCTTATAAGTATATATTTTTTGGAAATTTAGAAAATTTGTTTGATTATAGAACTGATTTTTGCGAATTTAATCTATTATTAAGATATTGATTTTTAATCAGAAATGCTAAACTTAATTAATTTTCTCTTTATATCGATGACATCCAGGAAAAATAATTAAATTTTATCTAGCGTTTGTGTTCAAGATTAAAATCAATTATTTATTGTTCTAATCAGATATATTGAAGGATTATGGAAATGTTATCCGATAACATTTAATCTCAAAGACGTGTGCGTAAAATATTGCGTGTGGTTAAGGACAGGTGTTCCTTCGACACTTGTACCATTCAGTGCAAAGCGGTATAATGAAGCAAATACTTTTTGCGAGCGACGAGGAGATGCAAAGATCCATATATTATACGTTTTAGGTGACAGTATTAATTCGCGTAATGATCGTTCCCCAAATTTACGATATACTATATAAAATAAGCTAGCTACATAAAAAAGAAAAGACATATATACCATGGATTATGAAATTGTAGATGCATCTGTTGATTTGAAAAATTATTAATTACGATTTCATCAGTGAATTTGTTTATCACAAATTTTAATTTCTTTTCATTTCCATTTCTATTCTTGTTGATGCAATGATTATTGCATTTTATCTAAAAATTTATTATCCTAATTATTTTCTAATTCGGATGCATCTCAATATTTTTCAAGCTTTTCACGAATAAAAACATGATTGTATATTAATTTTTTGGTGAATCTTATATGTTTTTAATGCTTAATGTTTTTAAGGCTTATATGTTTTTCTTATATTTTATTACATTTAATTACTTCTCCATCGCCTTTCATCCAAGTGCGTTATTACTCTAACGAATATCCGGATCAAGCACGCTTTAGTAAGCCTTTCAGGCCTTGAACGCCCGCACAGGTGACGAGTCACTCGCAGCCTCGAGTCTCTGAACGCGACGAGGATGCATCGGGAGCCAGAAGGTGGAGTCCACTGTCAGGTACTTGATTTCTCGGCATCTCACGAAGAGATGGAGAGGTCTTCGACCGGTAGCCTAAGTCAAGGAGCCGTCCCTAAAGAGGCACCGGGGTCATTAGCGAATGGAGCATTTATCCTTGTCCTTCGCTCTTTCTCTTTCCCCCTCTCTCTCTTTCTCTCTCTTCCTCTCGATAACTCTCGCTCTTTTTCTCTTAGCCGGACTTGATTCGCCGTCGGTATCAACGGGTGCCAGGCAGGAAGACCCGTATTATCGAGTCAATTGTCTCACATCCCCCTCCCCCGTACAGTTCAGCTGACTATAAAATCATTATCACCCGTCCACCACCATCACCACCATCACCTATCTCTTTCCCTTCTTTCCTCTCGTCGATCCTATAGCCGTTGCTTCTCGGTCGACGTTGAACGCTCGATTATCCCATTAATACGACGAGTCCGTGCGTTCATCCGTCCCGGCGGATCTTTAATTATTTAAATGTGCAGAATCGCGGCGGAGACCCGGCATAAAGAGTATCAGAGCCCCCTAAAGAGACAGGGGCGGATTTGCGGAGATGCGAGGCTTGGTCGTATTTGAATGCATCTGTGTATATCTTTGAGAGCTTTAATCATTCGTAAAAAGAATTATTTTTGCTTTAGATGATTCTATTAATTAATATCTATTGATTGTTGTTTCATTTTTTCAAATAATCATTTTTATATCTGACGCATAGAGATATTAACGTGTATTAAGTAACCAGTTCTGCTAAAATTTCTATTGTGAATTTAGCAAAAAATGTTTGTCATCGGTTAATCAATTTATCATCTTTATGCTTGCGATTAAAAAACGCGTCGCGTGAGAATCTGCTTGCCATCGAAGCTTATTTCCTCTAATCCGCCCCTGCCCAAAGTGTCGCAGGCTAGGCTCAGTGGGAACACGAGTAATCCTTAGTGACAAGTGGGCTCGAGGCACCAGTGTATCCGGTAGCACTTTGGTATTTATCTCTATAAATACGCATCGGCGTTGAGCATCGTTGACCCTGGCGTAATAATGTACGCGGCAGCATCTATTCCGTGGCTCAAAGGTTCCAATGGATTCTCGTTAAAATTTTTTTATCCGATGAACAAAGAGAGAAAGAGAGAGATCCGTGTTTAGAAAATTAATTACAGCACAGATTCGC